TGGAGAGGCGGTTGGCGCCGCGCCCATCTCAGTCTCTCTGACAGGCCCCAGCATGCGCAGCGAACAAGGCTGTACAAGATCATCGAAGTTGGACACTTCAACAGTCAGAGTGAAACGGAATTGAACTATCCCTTAAAACAGAAGTGAACTGCCCCTGACTGTTGCTGCCTCCCCACACCCCTTGCGCTATCTTCAAGAGGCAGCATTTCTGTCGATACCTAATCCCGCAGGGAAACCAGCACTAGAAGGTGGAGAACATCAAGGAGTGGGAGAGCACCATCAACGCGCCTGGCTGGCCGTACGGTCTGTGGGCAGAATATGGAGACGGCATTCGAGCATCGTACCCCTCCAGCCCCGTATCCGTGCACTTCTGGAAGGAATGAGGGCACAGTACTGCAGCTGCGGACCCTATCCCACAAACAGGATCCACGGAAGTTAGTCTACAGCATGAACCTTTGACGAAAGCAAGACGTGCAAAATCTGCTCAAGCATCAGCTTGAGGAGACCATTGGGTGCCTAGCAAGAATTGAAGCACTACGACTCAGAAGCCGGGATCACCGGGATCGTGTCGCAGGTCAGTGACATCCTTCTCCTCGGTGACAAAAGGAAGGACGATTTGCCGGATGCTGAGAAGAAATGACGGGCAGTAAAACTCCTACTTTTATGCGACAGTATCTCGTCGACTGCTGGGCTGAGATCGGCCGTTCATTTCACCCCAGCTAATTGCGGAACGTGCCCTCAAGCAGTTCTGCGAGCAGACGATAATTAGTGACTCAGCTCAAAACGAGACTTACAGTCTTGTTCGCTGCGGACGATGGGGCTTTTCAGTGGGCTGTAGCACGCCGCCAGTCCGTTCCCACCACCTGTTGAAGCGGGTAAGCAGCAACAGTGGGTCGAAAACGACGGACCCGAACGATATGATACGGTATCGTCGCTTGACGAAAGAAAAAAAGAAAAGAAACGGACTGGCATCGCGCCAAGCCCAGCCTCTCTGACATGCCCCAGCTTCAGCAGCGAACAAAACTGTACGGTAGTACAAAATATATTAAAATTCAGTCCCACCTGTCTATTCAGCAGACCGTAAAGTATGAAATTTGATGCTGAATTGATATACGGTAATGCATGCACCCCATACATGAAGTAAATGAACTTGAACGACGGCATTTCAAGCATTGCACTAGGATTGAAGATTTCAACATACAGCGAGTACAGTACCGACACCCAATACGGCGTCCTGAAAAGTCGATTTTTGACGAAAGACTGCCGCGACTCCACTGAGGAACTTCTGTGAACGTTTCAGTGAGCGTTCACAACTACTGTATTGACAGTCCTCATCCTGGCAATTGATTAGGGGGCCAAAGGGTCGCGACGCGGCTGCGGCTCGTCACGACCGCGGCGATCAACTGTTTCCAGCCTGGTTTAGCCATTTTCTCCCTAATTTTCACTGGTAAGTTGTGTTATTGCTTTTACCAAATGTGTTAGAACGTGGATTCTTTTTCCGTTTGTGTAGTGAAGTATTTTTGCATTTTTTTAGGTGTTTGTTCAATTATTTAATTGTTCGCAAAAATTAGAGAAATCTCAATCATAATTCACCTTGTGAAGACAAGGAACAACTAACCTCAAGAAAAGCAGCCAAAAACAGTGAAAATTAGGGAGAAAATGGCTAAACCAGGCTGGAAACAGCTGATCGCCGCGGTCGTGACGCGCCGCAGCCGCGTCGCGACCCTTTTGCCGCCTAATCAAGTTCCGGGTGACGACGTATAGGAATAGAAAAAAACGAACCAGCACAGAAAATGGAACAGACAGATTGCTAAAGTATATACGGCGATATGTCCGATTGGTATCTGAAAAAATTTGCATGGAAAGTGGATTACAATCAGTCAATAATCGTGCACATGAAAAGGTCACATTGAGATCGTAGACTTCTAATATTATAGAAACGCTACTAGTGCAGTCCTTTTTAGGAACAAATTCACTTCCGAAATCAAAATAACAAGTACGAACGAAAAACAGATATTGGTTTTCAGAAAACCAATAGATACCAGTAAATATACAGTAGACCGCGACCGTTTTCTGCACCAATGAAAAATGGACCATTCCCCAAACTAGCCTTCACCTTTTCGTCAACGCCTTTCCGTCGACCGATCATCGTCTGTCGAACAGCTCGCGCTTGTTTGAACAGCCGTATCAGCATTCCATAGTAAAAGTAAATCATGAATAGTAAAGGCATGAGATACGCCTACAAAGATGAACAGTATGAACTCGTGTGGCATACAAGTAGACACGTGACATACAAGTAAAAAGCAGTAAAGAGTGAAGACGATGAACAGTATATCGCCGAGGTCATCCACACATTTGTATAGAATGCATCCTTGTGATGGTTTTTTGCGGTAAATCGAATTTCTCATGAATAATGAGCTCCTAAATAATAAATTAATAATATAATAATATTTAAATAATAAAAATTCATTCATAACTGAACAGCTTGAGTGCCCCCACTGGTTCAGTGTTTTATTGTTGACCCAGGCTACAGCAATAGGATGGGAGAACTGAAGCTGTTACTCCCTCTGCATTCCTTGCTCCACTACGACCCCCCCCCTCCGTCCTTTCTCTCACCTTCCTAAGTTCTTTGAGTTGAGGGCCTGTCACCAACGCTTGGGTCTTGGCGTGACGCCAGTCTGTTTCCCATTGAAGGTTGCGGCTTCGAGCATTCGATGACTAGTGGGGGGTAGGGGCTGGCGTCGTGCCAAACCCACGCGTCTTCGATAGGCCACGACTAGCCTTGTGGTAGCGGTTGTACATACAATCCATATCATCAGGATGGATAGGGCGTAGCTGCGTACTTCAGTGGAACGTAGCGATGGCTGCACTTTTAGATGGGGCCTGCCGTTTTGGACAATTGTAATCATGTATACTTGCTTAGGTCAAGACAGATAGCAGTTGTCTCAAATGGAAATTTCCAAAAAAAAACGCATCCAACGCCATGTTCAGATGAAGCGCGGTAACGCCCACCCCATCTCCGGGATAGAATGAGAGCGCAGACGGGACGGGGAGAAGTCGATAAACTCTTATTCAATTCCGCTTGAACCGGCAACTGTCCACACGTATGAAACCGCCGACGCGCTCAGGAATAGGTTCATAGACACGCCCTACACATTTCTGGGGTACGTAATGTATCTAACCAAGCGCTTGGTAGAACCCAATAATGCCTGTGGTACTAGAAGGGATTCCACAACTACGCTTAGCCTGCCAAGTGGTTATTTTACAGTATTCCAAAAATAACTTAGCCAGTTGGCCATTTCACAGCATTCCAAAAATAACTGACAGAACTCACTTTTGAATGTGCGTATAGTAGTATAGGAAATAACAGAATACATGTGAAAAGAAACATGGTGCTGAGAAGTATGTAAACTGTTTGATGATTTCGAACTCGGACCTTTAAACACTTTTGATGCGGAAAGTTCTTATTTTCGAAAAAGCTCAACTATTACCTGTAATGGATGACAGACAGCGCAGTACCGATCAATACTGAAAGCTACTAAAATGAAAGTACTGAAAATTTTCCCGATATGTTCCAGTAACCGGAAGAGCTTGCACGCGAATGTTCCGAACATCCAGAACCCGAGAATCTGTAATGAAAAAGTACTTGCTCTTCCGAAAAAGTGCAAACAGTAGTACCAGCACTGCATTGTACACACTTTGGTAGTAGAATCTATGTAAAGTAATATTCATAGTAGAAATTCGAAGGCACCATCAGCGATAGTTGGGTGGATGGAGCAATGGGCGGAGACTTGCAACTTTTACGTCATTCCCATTGGTGTGCCCTACGTGTGGTAAAGAAGAATGAAAGTATCAGTAAGAAATAATCACAGTGATTGCAAATCTCCGCCCATCCGATTTTTCGCGGAAAGAGGGGAGCCGCTCCGGACATTGTGCTTTTCTAGTTTGTCACAGCGCCATTACCCGTAAATTAATGACAACTAGTAAAAAGGATAACAATGAAATGGCGCATTAATAAATCCTCAACCTAATAGAATCGTAAGGGTTCCTGCGCCGATTCTGAACCTGATCTGTTTTTCACTATCTACAAACCTGGTCAATGATGGTCATCGGAAGTGGCAGCATGCTGAGGAAGTCCACTATACACAATATACATATGTAAGTCAATGTTGTATTGTGTCTCGATCTAAATCTCTTCGTTTTATTCGTTTCTTTACATGTCTATAAAGGTTTGCATGAGTCTCAAGTATACTGTATCGTTAGCCTAAACTGAATGATGCAGTCGGGTAGGGGACATGACGCACGAGGAGCGTAAGACTGCGTTCAGACTTCGCGATGACGCGCGTCACAGCGCTACAACGCGCGTTTTACTCACCCTCCTAATGCCACTCCTATGACTGTCCCATTTTCGTGTACTTTTCAAAACACTAGCACACACAATCTTTTAACCTGCTATTCGTCTACAGCCGTCATCCAGGCTAGTTGATTAGGCGGTCAAATGGTCGCAGACGCGGCGATCAGCTGTTTCCAGCCTATTTAGCCATTTTCTCCCTAATTTTCACTGTTTTTGGCTGCTTTCCTTAAGGTTAGTTGTT